TTAAACAGTTATCTCCATTATATCTTTTTAAATATTTTGTTTTTCCTTCCACTGCTTCTAGTTGTTTTATAAGGAGACACTGCTCAAAATCTTCCTCCATTCTCCTCTGTTAAATGTTATAAATGGATTTTGAGTCTAAACAAGGGCTACCCTTGCTTAGCATTGAGTTCAAGTGTTTTCTAAGGGATTTTCTTGTCTTTTGTTTTTGTTTTGGTCTCATTGTCCTGACTGATTTACATTTGTTAGACTTCCTCAGAAAATGATGGTAGTTTATGTTGCCAATTGTTTTTCTAACTGTTTCTCATTTTTCAGTGTTAACACTGCTTAAATAGGTCAAATTGGAGTTGCCAATGTTCCACGTAGTATCTTCTAATCTTGCCTAATTTGGTAAGGAGTTGTCTTTGCTCTAATGAGTTAATTATCATCCACATATCGCTGTTTCAGAAATGACACACATTACAAACTAGTGATTTCCTAACTGTTGTTAAAATATAATATAAAAAGTGTAATGTTATTTATTGTTCACCATGTCTAGTATTTCCCTATTTTCTTAAAGAAGGTACTCATTATTTTATAAAGTTGATGAGCCTTTGACTACTCTTATTTGTTATTCCTAAGTCATATTTTTCAACATCTTTTTTGCTACCCTCCTTTATGTCCACATTTGTACTGATGCAACTAAATATTAAAATGTATATTGATTTCATTTAGATTTTTTTTACCAAGTTTTTTTGGATAATTTCTCTACCTCCTCATCTCCAACAACAGATGTTGAAACATAAACTGCACTTCTCTCTACAGTAGGTCTTTGTTTGTTTGTTTGTTTGTTTGTTTTGCAAATGTTCATCATAAGCACAGAAATGCCTGGTAAAACCAGTATCCTAAGAAAAGATGTTTCCCACAGAGTGTAACCTAAACCCAGCAAAATTCTAAGGCCAAAAAGGGAAGAAGAAAAAGAAATTAGCATTACTCTAATGCAAATAAAGAGGCCAAGGATGGAGAAGTGAAGTCCCACTAGAGGCTGAGAGCCAAAGGCAAAGCCTTATTCCTGAGAGAGTTCTCTCTCACTAATGAGCTCAACCTCCAGGGTCTCAGAGGAAAAGTACGCCTTTTGACCATATACGCTGATGTGATATTTGTTGAGATGGGGTGGGAAATTTTCTACAAACTAGGTTTTGGAGGACAGAAATCTAGATGAGACGTATGACTCACTAGGCTGTACTCCAGTCTCTACCACTATCTCCCTTGTTGATACTAGATAAATTATTTAATCTCTCTGTACTTAGTTTATCTGCTATAAAATGGAGACGATGAAACTTACCAATCATTGGTTTTTCAAAATCTATTTGGATCAGAAGCACTATAATACACAAACACCAAAGATTATGGAGAGGACCAAATCCAAGATTCTTGCATTACATGGCTAGTACTTGTTTATGTCAACATTATGCAATGTTTATGATCTAACATGTGCCTGCAGATATATTGCATTATAAATACTTTTAACTAACTCAGCAGGACCAAAATCATTCAGACTTCACTGAAGAATGGATTACTTTAGGCTAACCAAATAGTATGGGTTTACTTAAAATGGCAGGTATGTAACTTGTTCCATATAATATGTGTCTTGATCCATTGGCTTGGAAGATTGCTAGTTGTGTTTGTTGTATAAGAAGAAAAAATTCACTGATTATTTAAGTTTTTTTTTTCTCCCCAGTTTATTAACAGGGGTTAGTAAACCTTGGCCTTGACAAAATCATAAGTAAATTGTGTTTTCCTACCTGCTGGCCAGAATAGATTGTTAATAGACAATTGTTTTGTATGGAAACAGGATTTCCACCTACTCCTTCCCTAGAAGCCAGTTCATTAAATAACTGTGAGGAGCCAAAATTAGACTGTTCTGGGACTGTATGTGTTAATGCTTCATTTAAATAGACTTTGTGAATGTGTTCTGGCTTGACAAGCCACAAGACTTCACATGTATCCCAATTGTGTCTTTGGCAGACTCCTAAATCACACTCTGGATAGTTAGTGTTCTTACTGACAACAACATCTATATTTGAAAGGCCCCAGAGGTGAGGTGGGGAGGGGAGTGGGGAAATAAAACATGTATAATTGTGTGGTTGGTTCTTTCATGAGATCACAAAGAGCAACATGGAGCTTCAGTGATTGTGAAAATGACATTATTCCTTCACATTTATAGCTGCATTAATACTAAATGAGGCAGAGTGACCCTAAATCCAAAGCTGTCAGAACCTGAAAGAGCAAATAAGTGAAATTGTTAGGAATGAAAGCTTATGATATTGATTAACTGACATTTATATAGAAATGGAAATGCATCTGAATCTATGATTACATTTGCATGGGGTGTTCCCAGTGAGAAAACTTTCTTTCCCAATGCAATTCCTTAATTGTTACGCAGTTTATAGTTCTAGAGAGTTGCCTCCAGCCCTGAGAGATCAAGCAACTTGCCCAAAGTCAGGTCCCTAATGTTAAGTCAGACACAGTCTTCTATTTCAGGTCTTCTTGACTTTAAGGCTCGCTCTCTATTAACTGTGTCATGCTTCCTGGAGAAATTTACATAGTGCTTTAAGATTTTCCGAGGACTTTATATATATGATCTCATTTGAATGCCCTAGGAACTCTATGAGGTTGGGACTATAAGGCATTATTATCTTCATTTTACAGATGAGGAAATTGAGATTCAGAGATTAAGTGACTGGCAAAGTCACTTAGCTAGTAAGTGGCAAAGGCAGGATTTAAACTTGAGTCTTCCTGGGTTCTAACACTCTATTTATCATGCCCAGATGAAAGGGTGTATCATTATTCCCTTAATATGAACCTCTTTGGGGACAATCTTGTATAATTTATATATATGTAATTTATTATTTTATTTTCCCCAATTATGTGCAAAAACAATTTTTAACATTTGGGGTTTTTAAAAAAATTTTTGAGTTCCAAATTCTTTAACTCTCTCCCTCCCTTCACCCCATCATTGAGAAGGCAAGCTAATTGATATAGGTTATGCATGTACAGTCATGCAAAACATATTTCTATGTTAGTCATGTTGTGAAAGAAATCAGATTTTGAAAAAAAAGGAAAATAAAGAAAAAGTATGCTTTGATCTTCATTTAGAGCATTTTTCAGCAAAAGTCCTTCAGAATTGTCTTGCATCATTGTATTGCAGAGAATAGCTAAGTCCTTCACAATCTTACAATACTGCTGTTATTGTATACAATGTTCCCCTGGTTCTGCTCATTTCACTTTGCATCAATTCACGTAAGTCTTTCCAAATTTCTTCTGAGAGTGTCCTGCTCAACATTTCTTATAACATAATAGTATTCCATCACAATCATATTTTGTGTGATAGATTATCTATTTTCATTTCTAATTTTAAAATTATCAGCCAATAGTAGTAGAAAATTGATGATCACATTGATGTGTATCTGAAATATTAGTTGCTCTCTTTGGAGTGCCCAGAGAAAAAAGCACCCAAAGCCAAGCAGGTGTGGTCAATGTACTCCAAGGGGTCCTTTCAACCTGGGAATCAAACGACAATTGTACTTAACCTCAAGTTGCGGGTAATTTGATTTCTGTAAGCTGAGTTATGTTTTTTTATTAATAGAAATTTTCATTTCTTTAGAAACTTCTTCATTTCTTATTGTTTTTCAATTGGAAAACAAACAACCAGATAGGTATTTGGGAGACTTGGGTTGTGATCATATCACTGATCATATTACTAACTTACAGTGTGGCCTTGGGAAAGTCATTGAGCTAATCTGAAACTCAGTTTCATCATCTGTAAAACAATCTCTAAGGTCTCCTCTATCTCTTTAAGTCTATGATTAAGTCGATAAATTATCCTTATTATTTATTGCTGAATAGCTTCTAAAGTCTTGCTCTGATGACTTGAGATGTAAAGGTGCTCCTGGATTATTAAAGGTAGGCCAATGCTGGCATAGGGTCTGGCATATTGTAACAACCTGGCAAGGCTTGGTCAGGTGATAGATTGCCTGCTGGTCATCTGAGTCAGTCAGTCAATAAACATTTATTAAACACCCACTATGTGCTAGATGACACTGAGGATACAACGAAAGGCAATAGATAGCCCCTGCTCTCAAGGAGCTCACAGTCTAATGGACATGCAAGTCACTATGAACTATGTGCAAAGAAGCTATACACTACACAGACTGGTGGTAAACAACAGAGGGAAGGCACTAGAATTAAGGGGAATTAGGAAAGTCTTCCTGTAGAAGGTAGGATCTGAGCTGGGACTTCAAGTAAGCGAGAAGGCAGAGATGAGTAAGATGAGAATTCCAGGCCTGAGGGACATCCAGGAGATGTAGTGTCTTGTGTGAGGAACAGTAAGGAGACCAATGTCACTGGAGCACAGAGTATTTGGGTGGGTGGGCGGAATTGAAAAGGGAAGCTAGGTGATTGAGTGGATAAAGCACCAGGCCTGGAGTCAAGAAGATGTGAGTTCAAATGTGGCCTCAGATACTTACTAGCTGTGTGACCTTGGGCAAGTCACTTAACCCTGTTTGCTTCAGTTTCCTCATCTGTGAGATGAGCTGGAGATGGAAATAGCAAACCCTTCCAGTATCTTTGCCAAGAAAACCCCAAATAGGGTCATGAAGAGTTGGCTATGACTGAAATGACTGAACAATTTTAAAGGATAAGAAGACAGGAAAGGTAAGGGTGCTGGACTAGGTGATTTGAAGGTTATGAAGTGCTTTGAATGCCATCTGAGGAGAATAATTGCTAAGTCTGGAGAGGTCATTACCAGGTTGGGCACAGGGTGACAAAATTTTCAGCCATCCTCAAAGCCTATATGCTACATGGAAGGGTTGCATCCACTCCCTAAAAATGAGTTACTTGAAGAACTGAAGGTTGCCAAATGGAGAATGCCCCCTACTATGATTGGAAATTGTTATGTGTATGATAAAAAAAGAAACATCGACACTAAAGTCAATTTTCGTTGATTTGCTTCCTACCTCTAGGTGTACAGCCTGGGAAACAATATTGTTCCTATTATCGAGCCCTGGTAGCCATTTGGATTCTCTTTGGCCTTGCCTGGATTGCTCTTCTATTTAATTTGTTGATCAGATTTTTGGAAGACACAGAAAAAAAGATAGCTGAAGACCTCCACAAAATGGGAAAAGTAGGAAGAGAAAATGGGAGAAGCCTGAAAAGATTCCAGTGTGCAAGCCCTTCTCCTAATGAGACCTTACCACTGGATACTGAAGAAGGTTCTCAGAAATTTGTTTTTGAAACAGCAGAAAAGGACAATGAAGAAAAGAAAGAAACCAGTTTTCTTTGTGAAGCTGTCTTGTGATGCCTTTTGAACTGAAATAATACTGTGGTGTTTGGTGAGCTATGTTTTGTAAAAGGTTTTATTGAAGAGAAGATGATAGTCATACAGAATTGTGAGACCCCATTTCTTTTTATCAAACCTTTTTTGTGCAAGCTTCTATATTCACAATGACAAATGTGATCATACTTGTAATCGACAGGACCCAATTATGCATGGTGGGCTTAGATATCTTCTTTTTCCATTTACACTTTAGTATTTATATAAAAGAGGAAAACTCATATATATAGAATTGTTGGGATTTTTGAGCTGGAGATTAACAACTGAAGCAGAGGCTCTTCTGACTGCCAAATATTTAGTAGGTGCAGTCACAGTAGTCTAGCTTTCTTATGCCATTGTGCAAGCTAAATTTGCCTAAGCACGAGGATTTCCAGGCTGATAGTAACTCATTCTCACCTAGGGTAACTCAGAAATCTAAAATGTAAATAAATACTCTCAGTTGTACCTATTGAAAATTAAATCCATTTTCCATGTTGCACAGATAGAAGATGAATACCTGATTACCATCCCCCTATAATAATTCTTTATGTCACTGAAAGAGGGTATTAAATAAACATTCAGTGTCATCACTATCCTTTAAGTTTAATGATTCCCAAATGAAAACTCTTTGAAGACTCCAGATTACTGTGCCAATGTAAGGGACACATGAGAAAAGGTATGCACTTGCCATAGGTTCTTATTTCCAGTCCTTTGGTCATTGTTGACATTTTGTTGATCCTCTGCAGTTCCTCCAACTGTCTGTCTTAAAATAGAGCCTTGAATTAAATGCACTTCTCAAATAAAGGTCTGAACAATGCCAACAAGCCATCATGTGATATCCCCTGAAGTACTCAACCAGCCATGATAGTAAGGCCCAATTTGAAGGAAAGCTGTGTCTACTACAAGGCCACGCACCCTGAATACTCCAGCGATTTTTTTCCCCTTTCATTATCTCTTTAACCTCCTTTGATGATTTATCTTTTCTAGAAGTATACAAAATGGGCCAAAAAAGGATTATTTAATCTATTTGAATTTTGATTGTCAAGAAATTCTAGAAGTAAGTTTGAAGACTATTGATAAGATATTGGCGATAAATTGAATTATGTCATCTGTCATTTTCAATGATATTTCTAAGAAGTCATTTCAATAAATACTTATCAAAGCAGCAAAAGTTCAAAGTGTTTCCTTGCCGTGTACCTCAGAGTGCAGAAATATCAGACATTTTGGTGCCTATACACGGTCCCCAGATACTCAGCTCTTTAAACCTCTTTTACAGACTAAATGACCTATATATTATATTATCCTCAGAGTGACAACCCAAGAGTACAACTTGAAATCAACACATGTCCCACGTCCCAGGGGCCTGGGAGCACTATGGAGAAAGAAAGAGAACCAAGATGATGGGTGGGCTGGGGAGGGAAATAATAATGTTAACTCCCTTTCATTAGTTGGGAAAGAATCACACAAGTGTGGCATGGGATCTGCAGATACCTCTGCTCCTTGAGAAAAAGAATTGCATAAATACTCAATGAGAGGATTTTGCTGTGGATAAATTCAGCCTTAGAATGCTGTCCAGAAAAGAGGATCCATTTTCTTTTTGAAATTAGAGTCACTTCAAGGGTTCTGAGAGCCCTGGGCAGAAAAGATGAAGAGAACATTTGTCCCTCACTGTTGCACGGTAACTCCTTCCCTTCAGGTTCAGGAAGAAGAGGTGGCTCTTCTAGCTAAAGTTAAACTCTCTACCTGTAGTCTTGAACCTACTCCCTTCTGTGTCCCTTCTTGTGCAACTTCAGTCTCTCCCTCTTTATCTCTATTGATGCCTTTCCCCCAGCCTTGTGTGGGAGAGGGAGTGAGCGAGAGGGTGGGAGGTTAAGTCCTTATTTGCCTAAAAAGCAAGCAAACAAACCCTTCCATTGACAGTTCCACCCCCTTAAAAAATTTTCCTATCTTCTTCCTCCCTCTTAACTACCAAACTCCTAGAAAAAGTACTCTATACTCAATCTCCACTTCCTTGCCATGTATTCACTCCTCAACCCTTTGCAAGATGGCTTAAATATCTGAAACAGATCACTAATGACATCCTTATCTCTAAATTAAACAACTCTTTTCCATCCTCATTCTCCTTGACCTCTCTGTGGTATTTGGCACTGAGGGCAGTGTTCCTCTCCTCCCAGGGCTTCCATGTCACTGAATTCTCATCATTCTCCCAAATGGCTTTTTTTTCTGTCCCTTTCTGGCTCCTCATTCTCATCTCACCCTTCAAACACGGATGTTCCACAAGATTTTATCCTAGGTCCCCTTCTCTTCTGTATTTGCACTCTGTTCCTTGGGGAATATTTCTACTCCCACAGCCTCAATCATCACCTCTATTTAGATGATGATTTCTAAATCATAATCTTAACCTCCAACCTCTGTCCAGAGACACAGTACTATATTTCCAACTGTATGCTGCGTATCTTCATCTGTAATTCAGCATGTCTAAAACTGAATTCTTTTCCCTCACTTAACTTGGCCCTTTCCTTAACTTTCCTACTTCTACTAATTGCACCAGGATTCACCTTTCAATTCACTGAGGCTCACTTTTGACTCTTCTTATTCCCTCATGCCACTTACCCAACTCCCATTGTTTCTACCTGTAAGACATCTCACAAATTCGGCAGCTCTCCTCCACTTCCACTACAACCAACTCTTGCCAACTCTGCCCCCACAACAGCTTTCCCATTTGTCCCTTTTCCCTCACGTACACAGCCACCACCCCTATTCACCTCTTACCTGAATTATTACAACAATCTCCCTGCTTCCAGTTTCTACCCTCTCCAATTCTTCTTCCTCCACATAGCTGAAAAAATAATCTTCCTATAGTATAAGTCTGACCATGTCATTTTTCTGCTCAAAAATCTTTAGTGTATTCCTATAGTATCTAGAATAAAATGGAAACTTCTTAGCCTAGTGTTTAAAGCCCTTTGCAATCCGGCCACAACCTACAACCTACCTCTCCAGCTTTAGTATACTTTATACTCCTTCCTACATTCTATGTACGCTGAGTTTGGAATTCTGCCTCTTGCCTCCATGCTTCTATACATGCTTCATGGGTACACTGTCTACAGCTGAGAGTCTTAGAAGCCTTAGCTTCCTTCAAAGCTTAATTCAAGTATTGCCCCCTCCTCAAAACCTTTCCTGATCTCTCAGTTTCTCATGCTCTCTCCTTCAAACTGCTTTGTATTCATCTGTGTTCATGTTATATCCTCTGGTAGACTATAAGCTCCTTTAGGGCAAGGATAGTTTTTCCTTTTCTTTTTTTTTCTCTGTGCCCCTGGTATCCTTGTATATAATACATAATAAATATCTGGGAAGTTGAATATTACTATATTTTTTGTTGTTGTTCAGTCGTTTCATTCATGTCCAACTCTTTTTGACCCCAATTGGGGTTTTCTTGGCAAGGATATTGGAGTGGTTTGCCATTTCCTTCTCCAGCTCATTTCACAGATGAGGAAACTGAGTCAAACAGGATTAAGTGATTTGCCCAGGGTCACACAGCTAGTAGGTGTCTGAGGCCAAATTGGAACTCATGTCTTCTGGGCTCCAAGCTTGCACTCTATCCACTGTGCCACCTAGCTGCCCATCACCACATTAGTTGAAATCTTTGTCATTTCTCATTGAGACCACTGTAATAGCCTCTTAAATCATCTTCTTGTTTCCATTTGAAATCTTTTTCAATAAACCCTCCAAAGTACCGTCCAAGTTACCTTTGTAACATATCAGTATGATCGTGTCTCCCCTCTCTACAAAATCCTCAATGTCAGTTAAATGAATTATATATTTTTGATCCACCTGACTTTTTAATTTTAAAGGTAAGGTAATTGAGACGCAGAGATTGTGTTACTCTGACTCTATCCTACCTGCCTAGCCTTATGATACTGCCTCCTTTAACAGTCTAATCTATAGCCAAATTTGATTACTTCTCAGCTCTTGTTTTTAATTTTGATATGTCCCATGTCTGTGCCTTTGCTCATGCCACCCCTGATATAAGGAAGAGATTCCCTCCTCCACCCCAAGGACGCCTCCACTTCTTGGAATTCCTCCCTTTCTTCAATAGCCACCTCAGATGTTACTTCCCTAATGAAGCTTTCCCTGTCCTCTTCCCATTTATCTTCAATTTTGTCAAAGCACTTTCCCTGGAATTCTTTGTACTTATCTCAGTCTCCCTTAAATTATTTTAAAATTAATTTTTTTTTCAAGTAGCAAAAATCTGCTTTTTCTCCCTCCTGCTTCTACCCCAGGGATTTGAGAATTCAGTCTCTTTTTATTAGTTATTTGTCCTTTTGGTTGTTAGCTCCCACAAAAATGGATTTACTTATAATTGTATACCCAGTAGCAATCACAGTGCCTTGCTCATAATAGTCAATTAATAGATGGTTATTAAATTTTATTAAATTGAATTTTATTAAATTAAATAAAAATTTATTAAATTGGATTGATTTGTATCTTTTTGTTGAATGTAAGCAAACATTGGTCCTCCATAGATTGGTACCATTACTTTAATGCTAACTTAAATTTTTTATTGCTATTTTGACATGGGTCTCATTTTTTCTCCTTGTTTTGCCAATATTTCCTACTGTCTTTGCCAAGAGCTCTACGCTGAGGCAATGCAGAACCTTTGTAGCATTAAAATGTCACAAATACGAACAATATTTGTACTTGAATTCATATACATAGCACTCACCTATTCAGCTGATTACTCCCATTACATGATACCATTTAATTATCGCAGGAAAAGCCTTAAAGTTAAGAAAATGACAAAAACAAAAAATGAAAGCAGCATCTTCCTAAAGCATTCTTATTGGAGAGGCCTCAGTCGTTAAGAGGCCTTGGATTAATTTGAGATTTTTTTCTTCTGCATCTCTCCCCTTTTCACCCTGACAGTCTTTCCTGCCCTCCCTCCCCCATCCATCCATCCATCCATCTGTCCTGTTAACTAGAGATAGAATGATGACCCCAAACTTCCTGAAAAAGTTGTACAGATGCATTGCACAAGAGGTTTGAGGTTTGAGGCCCCTGAGAAACACAGGAAAAAAAACATTCAAAACTTTAGGCACTTCCTAATTATATTTGTATAGACATTTCTCACAAGTGCTCCTGGGCCTCTGCCAAGTAGGACAAACATCAACATGTTAGCTTTCCAAACACATTAAGCTCTCACCCCTTCCTTATTCCTATTCAGGACTGCTCACTAGTGATAGAGTATGTGTTTGTCAGGCAGTAAGACCTTCCCAGAAGCTAGGTTCTGAAAATATCTCTCCAAGTCTTTTGCAGATTTTGAGGCCCAAAATGAAACCCTGAAAACACATTATCCCAGAGAAGCAGTAGGGCCTCCCAAATGTATAACTAACTGACTAAATCTGAGAAAAATTCTACAACAGAAATTAAAAACCATGACAGGAAAAGAGAAGAAAATCGGACTGCTGAAAGATACAGTGGCATCCCATTGGTTTTCAACCAGGCAGCTTTCCTAAGTTTATAATTATTAAGCTATTTACTTTATTTCCTTATAAGTTTGCTGTGGATGTACTAAGAAAGGACCATAGAATCGTATCATTTAGATACTGAAGTTAACTTTAGAAATGATATAGTCTAACCTTCTCATTTTACAGATAAGGTAACTGAGGCTCATCAAATTTTCATAACTTGATTATAACTTGGTAGTAAATGATTTACCTAAATCTTCTAACACCTAATTTATCACTCCCTACTCTATCACACTGCCTTTCCAAGCAGAGACAATAGACATCTGCTTAGCATGTAAACAATGACAGCTTTGGTGGAAAATCTGGTGGAAGAAAGGACTTTGATCATAAATGAAAAAATTATCAGGTATGTTTCTGTGTTATAGTTGTCATACAGAAGACCTCAGGACTGAGTCTGTAATAGAACTAGCATTTCCCTGATGAAGTTTCTTTCCTCCTACCCACAGCATGGGGAGATTTTATCCAAAAGAAGACAAAGATGCCCCAGGTCTGGATTGGCTTATGTGATTGGTCTCAATTTCCCTGCAGCTTTCTTCCCTACCCTACCCCAACCCCCTAGCCAACAAGAGGTAAGTCTAGGA